AGAACATGAAAGCAGTGGGCAGGAACCACAGGTCACGGAGGGAAGCGGAGCAAAGGTTGCCAAGGTGGTCAGAGGGCAGACCGGGAGGCCCGGACTGCCACGTTAGAAAGTGGACATGCCTGCAGACCAGTCCTTCTGATCTTTTGTGGCTCAGGGGCCTTTGGTGACTCTGACAAAGCTGAGCTTACGACAAGGTACACAGCATTTCAAGGGGCCTGTACCCGCTGCACCCAGGGGCCTCAGGTTAAAAGACCTGCTCCAGCCCACGGAGAAGGACGAGGGTTCCGGCCGGGCCGTGAGCTGACTCCGGAAGAGTTCTGCCAGGAAGACACACGGGCGAGGCTGGGGATACACGGACTGGAGGAACGGGAGACCGGTGAGGAGCCACTGCAGGAACCCGGAGCTGAGTGACTGAGTCCGAGGAACAGACAGAGACGTCAACAGGGTCAACTGGATTCGAGGAAGAGGAGGAAGAAAGGATCGACGGGTTCTGATGCTAAGTGACAGAGGAAACTGTGGCATCAGGAAGGGAAATGGAGACGTGGCTGAGCTTGAAGTGGCCGCAGAATGCGCAGAGATCAGATCAAAGACACGCTGCACCCAGAGCAGCTCGCACCGCTTTGCTGCCACAGGCACGGCTTTGTTCCACAGGCTCCCTGACATGCCCACTCAGTGCTTTTGCCTCATGAGCACTCAGATATGTTTGGAATGCACAGAAAAACAGCCCCCCCTCCCCCAGAGCAGGGGCCTAATTACCCAAACCCTTTCTTGTCCACCCCCCTCCCCCCGCCCACGGTCTAGACTTTGGACTAAAACAGAATTGCTGCCCTGTAGGGCCATGGCACACTGTATTAGCTCCTCTAACACGGTACCATGACGTGGCAAACCAGCCAACTCCAGGACACTGGGGCTGAAGCCAAATCCACTCCAAGGAGACTACATGACACTAGCATGACACCCAAGGCTGTGGAAACGGGACCTCGCCGTAAACAGCAGCCTTGCTGTGACAGTGCCACGGTGAGGGGGACAAGCTGGCAGGGGAAGATGGAGAGAGCACTGTTTTGACCAGTTCGGGCAAAACTTGCAGCCAATGAATGTAACATGCTGGCACTCAGCCTATGGATACCCGGGAGAAAATCCCGGCAGGGAAAGTGATGGAAGTAGCAAAACGTGGACGAGGTGTTCAACCGTATCGTTCAGACCCAGCGGACTGCCCCTGTCTAAAGTTCTCCCAAAGCTTTCACAACTGCTTCTCATCTTCCTCTTGCTGAATACCTGTCTAACTCACACCTGCTCATTTCCAAGCCTGGGTTCTCAAACAAACCACGTACGAGATCAAACACCGTTCCTCGCCAGATGAAGAAGGCACCTCTTCATCTTCCCACTTCACCACAGAAGTTCCAAGTTCAAAATGAGCTCAATCTTTTGAGTTTACGTCTTAAGAGTTCTGTTGCTCCAATGCAACACACACATCGGATCTCTTGATGTGGTCCCGCCAGAGGCCTAGAGTCCTGGTGCTGCAATAATCAAACCACAAACGTGGAATGGACCTAACTAGGGTTCGCCTGGCATGCCCTTCTGCTTCCTGGCACTTTGCTTTTAAAGGAACCACCTCCCAATATAAGGGTTTCAAGCAGCAGCCCCAGTTGGTGCTGTGGACCAGAGTGCAAACGTTAGGAATTCATCAGTTAGGTCACACACACACACACACACACACACACACACACACACACACACAGGAGAAGGAAAGGACAGCCAATGAGACCTGCAGACCCACACACCAGCGTATTCAAAGCCAGACAGCACGATCCTAAGGGAAGGAGGTGAGGCGCGGAGAGGTCACGCAGGCAGTGCTGGAAGTTCTCAGCTTTAAAGCCCCATCGGCTCCTTAACTAACAGTCACCATAGTTAAAAAAATTAGAAAACTGGAGAACGGGGCAAGGAGGCAGGTAAAAAAGTGTTATGAATCCGATCTTTAAAAAAAAAAATCCATGTAAGAGGGAAATCAAAACGCCTTTGGGCAAAGAGGGGAAAAAATGACTATTTACCTATCAGATTGGCACAAATCCAGCTTAGAAACAGGTTATACTGTTGGTGGGAATGCAAAAACAGCACAATCCCTAGAGAACGGAGTATGTAATATCTAAAAAAAGTATTTTTACCTTTAACCCAGAGGTTTCATTTTCAGAGAATCTAACTCAAAGATCACTAGCAAAAATATATATTGTCTCACTGGCCAGTGTGGCTCAGTTGATTGGGACAGTCCCATACGTTGCAAGGTGTGGGTTCAATTCCCAGTCAGGACCTAGGCTGCAGTTTCGACCCCCGGTTAGGTGTGTATGGGAGGCAACCTATTGATGTTTCTCTCCCACATCAATGTGTTTTATTTTTTTCCCTCTCTCCCTCTCTCCTCCCCTTCTCTCAAAAAGAAAAAAAAAAAAAACAATCAATGAACATGTGCTTGGGTGATGATTAAAAAAAAATACAATGTCATATGCACAGGATATTATTGTGGCTTTATTAACAATAGCAAAAGACTAGAGAGACCCAGAAGGACATCAATGGCTATGAAAAGACTTGAGGAAGATCTCTATACACTGATAGGAGCAAGCTCTAGGCTTCAGTGTTCAGGGAAAAAGCAAGCTATAGAATAGTACGGATATGTTTTCCATAATAGCCTTGTGTGTGTGGGGGAGGGGGGAGATAAACCACCACACACACACACACACACACACACACACACACGTATGTCTTTGCTTATCCTAAGCAAAATGAAACACCCAAAGGACAGACTTCTCTGAATATATCTTGCTTATAATTTTGACTTTGGAAATATGTTTTCCAAATATTGACTTTGGAAATATTCAAAATAGCAGCAAATAAAAAAAATTATCATGAATTAAACACAAAATGAAACTTAATCTAACTACCTATCAAATTGATAACCCCCAGAAAAAAATAATTATTTCAAGGATTTCAGAATACAGCATTCTGTTCTTTATTTGTTCTAAGGACAAATAAAGCAGAAAAGAGATCCTAAACTGTACTCAATAAAGTTATAGTTGGTAGTTATAATGGTGTTTGAAACTATTTTATATGTACTGTAGGATAAGAAAAGTAAATAATTAAGTTACTGTCTTTAGGAGCTAAGATTTATAGTATATATGAATGATACTCAAGTATAAAACCAAAGAAGTAAAAAACTTGTAATGTCAAATTTGAATTGGAAATGCTAACATAAACTGGTGATCCTTTTTCTTCTTAAAAATACACACCTCTGGCTCTGCCCATTGTAAAGACTCAGAAGCAACAGCACACTGGCAAAAACAGGCGCACCTAGCCATCAGATCCTGACTTGTGAATACCATCGCCACTGAAAGGAACCAGGGCCAGCTGGGCTGGAGGACTGGCCAGTGAGCCAGGCTCCTTTCTGTGGGAAATTCAGAAAGCAACTGGAGGAGCAATTGGTTCGAAGCCTGGGCCAGGACACACAGCAGAAGGGTCTGGGACATCTTGATGTTGCCAGAAAGTAAGGAGACGAACAAGAATAGTATCAAAAGGACACAGAAGCCCATTTAGACAGGCTCCCATAGGCCAAAGAAAGAACACTCTATAATAATAAAAGGGTTCTTATGCTAATTAGACCGGACAGCCGAACGACCTTCCGGACGAAGCCGGGCTGCAAGAGCGGAGCCCCTTGCACGAATCTCATGCATCGGGCCTCTAGTGGAACATAAAAAAGATAATAAATGTGAGTGATTACAATTAAAAAGGGGGAAAAAGAAACCTCACTGGGTACCCCCGAAGACACTTGAGCACCAACAACTTGTAGTCTGAAATTTTTAAAAATTTAAATTAAATATGTATCCTGCTTTTCCTGTATTATCTGTAATTCAAGGTTACTCAATAATCCTCATTGATGAGGGGAAGTTCTTTTAGAACTTCGAATCAGCCAAAGCCAGTTTGGCTCAGTGGTAGAGTGTCGGTCTGCGGACTGAAAGGTCCCGGGTTCGATTCCGGTCAGGGGCATGTACCTCGGTTGCGGGCACATCCCCAGAAGGGGGTGTGCAAGAGGCAGCTGGTCGATGTTTCTCTCTCATCAATGTTTCTAGCTATTTCTCTCCCTTCCTCTCTGTAAAAAATCAATAAAATATATTTAAAAAAAAAAAAAAAAAAAAGAACTTCAAATCAAATATAGAACTAGAAACTCACCATTTGCCATTTCTCCGGTAACACTCAATTCAGATCACACTCATTGATGGATGACGCCACTGGTGAAAGGTCGACAGAGAACCTCACAACTGGAGGCCCAGGCTGCCGTTACCTGAACCCCCTTAGCATCACTGAAGCCAGGGAGCCAGACACCATGTCTCCTGGCAGGCACAGTGCCACCAAAGAGGCGCCCTTGCCCCAGAGCTGCGCCAGAACCCAAACACTGAGCGCTAACTCCCCTTTATCAAAACGATGGAGACAGGAACAAACTACACAGCAGCTTCCTGCCTCTCAGCTGGTGTTTCAATCTTTCCGCGCTACCGCTCCTGACCTCCAATACTCAGAACCGAATAAAAGCTGCAGTGTGAAGACCAATTTTCAAAAAGCACCCGTCTCTCTCTACCCAGAGCACTCAGCAATGCCCACGTCAAATCTGCCGGCCACTTCTTGAAGCTGCTGGGTCTCGTAACAGCAACTACCAGTGGTCGCTTTCCCGAACCGTGTCTAACAGCCAGCATGCCAAGTCGATCCTGTCCATCACACTGGGTTTCAAACAGAATTTAAGAGAATCTGGGGATAAACCCTTTGGTAAAGCACATGGCCTACGTCCCAAATTTACGTCTCTTCATGAGATCATGCTTGCTCTCAGTGCCAGCCCTTGCCAAGTGGTAAAGTGGCCACAGAACTCTGAGGAAAAGTCAAGGCAAACTCTAGCAGGGTGACTGACAACACTGATGAGGAAGGTCAGGGCATAGTCACCTCGATGGCGGGGCGGCGGGTCTTCCTCCTCAAGGCCAGTGATACTTGAGATACCAGATGGTTTCGTTTTTCAGCTGCGGTCCGAACAGAGGGTTGAGCTGGGCCAGAATTGCAATCAGCCAACTGAAAGAATAATGGGGGAGGAATGACAACGGAAGTGGTGAAATCATGCGGGAACAGGACCATTTTCAATCAGAATGGGTTTATCAAACCTATGTCGGCTCTGTTCAGACCAACCTTCAATACAAGTTCATAACCCATCGTGCTGAATGAGGGAGCCAGGCTGACAGCTTAGCACAAGCCGAGTCACAGGACACACCTGCCTTAAGCAGCGAGGCTTCCTCACAGGACAGCTGTCTTTTCTCAGTTTCTCGATTCCTAGCCTAAGTGTCTAAGATTTCCTGAATTCACACGTCTTTACCTCAGAGTGTTGTTTTTATTCTTTATTCTTGAAAATATGACATAGTCCTCCTTCCCCCCATGGGCTCCCTCCAGCCCACCCCCGCTGCCCCCTCAGTGTTTTTACCTAACTTTAAGCTCAGGAGGAACGAGTGTTCCTTATCCATTCTACAGATGCTAAGACCTGCAGCCCAGATGCCACACCCACTTGTGCCGGGACCGCCAGGTTAAATTTCGGCCCACCATCTCCCACTCAGGCTGTACCCGAGGGCCCCTTCTCTAACCACCATCGCCACGAGGCTGAGCCCCAGAGCGGAACCGAGCGGCTGGCTTAACAACTGTCGGTGACAAGGAGCGGCTCTGGGTCAGGACCGCTTCTGCAGGAAGTACAATGGGTGTTACAGAGCCCGGGGTAGGGCGTGAGCAGCAGCACACAGTGTCTCTGACGCTTTCTCGCACTGCCCGCAGTGGTTTTCTGTCTGGTGGAACAATTCACACACCCCGTGCCATAGGAGAACCACGGAGCCGGAACCAAAGCAAAGAAGTGTTAGGACCTTGACTCCCCCTAGAAGAGGGGAACTGGCCTACCCAACAGGCCACTGTCCGGCTGGGTCTCTATTCTTCCTTTTACTGTCGTGTTTAGAAATCTTCCCAGCTAAGGGCCCACAGGCCGATTCTGCTCAGCTATGCCCAGACCCACACAGAAGCCTGCGCCTACAGAACAGTGCACCTGCCCGGCCCGCCCGCCCCACAAAAGGTGGTTTGTGACAGGTAACAGGACACCTGAGAAGATGGGGCTAGAGCAGATACCGCAGGCTGACTCACTTCATAAACAAAAAGCTAATTCAGATGAGATCCTCTGATCCGACCTGAGAACCAGAGTATTAAACACAAACAGAATGCCGTGTAGTCGGGGTGTGACAGCTCTGACACTGGAACAGAGGAGGGGAGGGCAGCACAGGCAGACACACTGGAACGCTCTGTGACTGCAGCGAACACTCACTCACGGGGCAGAGCTCAGTCATGGAAAATTCCACAGGCCCAGGACTTCCCCAACCCGGCAGGCAGAGCCGCTGGCTGTAAAGCAGCCGCCCGGCCTCCCGTCAGACAGAAGTAACTGGCCAATGCTCGGACACCTGAAGAAAAAGCATGTTAGACCCTAAACTAGCCTGTCCCCTTCTTCACCCAAAACACCGAGTACTGAATGCCACACCGGCTCCCCGTGCTTCCTGTGACGCTGTGCAGGGTCCTCCCTCCTGGCTGCACACTGTAATGACCAGAGAGCCTGTGACATTATGGGCGCTCTGCTTCACCGGGACCTTTCCTTCAAGCCTCCCAGAATGCAGTTAGGGAAACTGAGGCAGGCAGAGGCTAAGTGAGTGGCCTGTGCTCACGATACTTATTAGGTGGCAGCAGCTCCTGCACCGGAAACCAGTCGGACGAACGTTCCCACCGCAAAAGCCACCTGAAGCACTGGCACTTCGAAGGCATCCATTCAGCAAAATCTAAACTGATCAGGGGGATAAGGAAATAGAGAAGCCATCTGCTGATTATTGATTAAGTCCAGGACAGGCCTTCGGTTCCTGAGGTACGGAAGAAATATCTAGAAGCAAGAACAAAATCTACTTTGCTTGCTCAGGTCACATTGAGAAACTTTTTAAAAAATATATATTTTATTGATATTTTACAGAGAGGAAGGGAGAGGGATAGAGAGCTAGAAACGTCGATGAGAGAGAACCATCGACCAGCTGCCTCCTGCACACCCCCTACTGGGGATGTGTCCGCAACCAATGTACATGCCTTTGACAGGAATTGAACCTGGGACCTTTCAGTCCGCAGGCCAACGCTCTATCCACTGAGCCAAACCAGTTTCGGCGAGAAACTTTTTTGAATTTAATTTTCCATACTACTTTTAATGTTTTGATTCAAGTGAAACATCTCACTTAAAAAGCCCAACAAACCACAGTTCCAAAAGTTCCCTGGGGAACGGCCCAGGCCTTTCCTCTGGAATTTCATGGGGGAACTGTGCCCCTCTGGCCAGCTGAGTTCTGTGCCTGCCCTCCGACTCCGACCCGACTTGGAACTCCCACAAACACGGCGGAGAACTGGGAGGGGAAAACCCAGTCTGAATTGATGGAAGTGGGTGGAGGAAGAGGTCATATTCCAATGATCCTATTATTTCATGTGTCCAGGAAGAGAGAACGAAATGTACCCTTCAAATCTGCCAAGCTGTTCCACGTGTCCCCATAACCCAAGTCCTGCCTCCTAACCAACCCTCTGAGGTTATTCAAATGCCCGGGGCAGCAATGGTGCAGTGACATCAGTCTGCAGAGCTGGCATGGGCCCGAAGACAAGTCCATGCTCTTTATTCCAAAGACAGGACACTACGCCCTAGAGTCCCACGGTACCAGCTGACACAAAGGTCCTGGTTTATCCCACAATCGTTACCAATGCCAGGCTCCAGGTCAGCTCTGGGGCTGCAAAGAGGAATGAGCAGAGGGACCAAGCCCTGCGGGGAGCAGGGGGGGGGGGGCGGGGAGGCGCTAGTGAGAGAGAAGCTGGGAGCAGTGGGATGTGCTCTGGGAGGGTTCATTCCACACACTCCCAGGCCCCTGGCCATGAGCTCAGCTCTGGATAATTAGGATTCTCCAGCCAGACTGCATGTCCTCCCCCACAGATAGGGCTACTCCCAACTCTCTCAGGTCTGGCTTTGTTCTTTTGTTTCACATTCAGATATGAGAACAGGGAACAGAGAGGCATGGCTACTTCCTGGTGACGCACAGATCAAGCGGATAAATGCCTAGCTTCCCTGTTGGCAAGGACTTCTCTTCTGATCCACTGTCCCTCCTGCCAGGGTGATGACACAAGTGACCTTAAGAGACAGCAGAGGCACAGAAGAGTGACTTGCACTATCTCCACCGAGATAATCTATTATCTGCCCCCATCCCAATCCACTGACACAAACCCGTTCAAAGGCACGTATTATTGGATGCTATTAGAAAATATGGATTCAGTACTGGGCAGGGCTGGGTTTTAATCCCAGCTATTTATCTACATATATGAAAGGCTAATATGCTAAGTGTCTGACTGTCTGACCAGTCGCTATGATGTGCACTAACCACCAGGGGGCTAACACTCAACACAGGAGCTGCCAAGCTGCAGTGACTTGGCAGCAGTGGTTCTCTGGTGACGCACCCCAAAACCAGGAAGGAGGGAGCCTGATTCCTCACGGGGCCATGCATCATGTTGCTGGGGCACTGTTGGCCCCGAATCCGGTTTACTGCACTATTGCATTTGCGTTCCACACTCCGTACAACAACTTTGCAGAGTGCCCTCTCGCACTCGGGGACCCTCAGGGAATCTCAGAGAGCCGGTTTCAGCCAGATCCCCGCAGGCCAGGCAAGCCAAGGGACCCCACCTGCCAGAGGGACCCCCACTCACTCCACTGGCACCAGGAGGGACTAGGGACCATGAGAGGTTGGCTCCAGTGCGTGTCTGGCCCATCTCACCCAGTCCTGCCCCACCGGCCCCTTCTAATTAATTTCCTTTCCATGTGCACAAATCTGTGCACTGGGTCACTTGTCATGAATATTAGCCGACGGTCTCCAGGCAAGTAGCCCCAAGCCTCAGTTCCCCCTTTTGTAAAATGAAGATAATAATCCCTGCCTCCAGATGTTAAGAAATAGAGAATACTAGTACATGAAATGCTCTGTGGAGTGGCTGACAAACAGACGTTTAATAAATACTAGTCACTCCTCCTCTTTCCCGTGAGACAGCGACGATGCATTGAGGCCCGGAATGAAATACAACCGGTGTACCGCACAGGAGTTCCTCACGCAGCGCTGAGTCATCCTCGTCTCCGCCTCTTCTCCGCCCCTCCCCTCTGTGGCAGGCAGAATTCCTGGATGTCCCCCAAGATACCCAACCCCTGGCATGCACACCCCGTCTAATCCCGAGACCGTGAACAGGACGATGGCCACTCCTGTGATCAGTCTCTGACAGCCAGCTGCCCGAGGAAAGGGAAGTCGTTCTGGGTGGACGTGACCTACTTGGGAGCGTTCCGAAAAGGGACAGGCTCTCCCTGACGAAGGCGTGTGGAGCGTGTGTGTCACTTACGAGTGATTAGCTCGGAACATCTCCTTTAGTGTGCACTCAAGCAACTGAGCTCCTTCTTCTCTCCTTAAAGCGCACAGTGATAAGCTGTCTCGGTGAGGGAGCTGGAGGGAAAGTGCAGGCGGGGACAGGGAGTCTGTGGGGTGGACATCTGGGACAGCAGGCTCGGGCCCAGGCATGGCTGGTCTTTGGTCTCGTAGCCTCAGCCTGGAAATTAGTTCCCGGCAGCCCTCTGACCCCAACACCAGAGCCCCTGCATAACCCATAGTCTCTGGAGGCCGGCTGCACTGGCACAGGAACATGGCTCCACACCCAGGCCCTGGCCACCTGCTCTCTCCTGTATCAAGAGGTGGCATCCTGTTTACCCAGCAACTCCAGCCTGGCCACACCTTCTCCAGCGAGGTCCGAATCCTTTCCAAGTCTGTCTTTCCTTGGGTCTCCCTCAGCCGGAGGATCATCTTGAGTTTCCTTATATCTTACACTCTTCTGTCAGAGCTTATAAAATGTTGTTACACTTCCTCTGCCTAACCTACTGTGTGGTTTTTATCTCCTTATTAGACTCAGACTGCTACCGGATGAGAAGGATTTTACACAAGGAGACTCTATTCCTG